TTGCTCGCAACGCGGTTGCTCCAAATTCTCATGATGCTATAGATGGTATGATGCTTGTTCCCTATTACTGTTGAAAAACTAACCATTGGCAGGTACCTGTGTTAAACGCTTAGTTTATCTCAATATTTAATTAGATTGTTCTTAGAAGCCATTTCATGATTTCAGTAGTGATTTGAAGGGAACCAAAAGAATGTTGTAATTTTATTTATGCATAAACCAGATAAGTTTCCTGTACAGAAGCATTTTCAGCGTTCCCTGCTGTATTATATGTTCTCCGACTGTTGTATTTTTCTATTGATTTGTAGCTGGTTTCATGCATGCCATCCAACTTTTCTGGGTCAATAAATATATGCCATGATTTCCATTCTCTGTTTTACTGAACAATGTGAGCCTTGTCACTGCAGTGGAGCGAGGTCTGACGGAGCTCAGGAAGTTGGGCATAGAGCAGCAGTTGTGGGAGGGCACGCGTGCAGACATCGACGAAGCAGCCTCAGCGGCGATGGGGGACGAATAGGGAGGGCACGCGTCATGAATTCATGATCGATTGTCTATGCTAGTGTATCATCCCAGTTTTGGACAAACGGGAGCTCCGGTTCCCAGCAGGTCTTCAGGCCCTTGGTATACCATCAAATCGAATGAGTCTCCGAGCACGCAGCGATGCGTCAGTCCTACAGCGTCGAGCAATGGACTTTGTCCAGATTCCGAAGATGTTTGTGTAGCCGATTTTATCTCTTTGTTGCATTAGTTCCGTGAAATGTGTAATTGGCTTTGTCCTGGCAAAGACGATGATGACCTCACCTCAGCTGGTAATTGTGAATTTCTGTGATTACTCCGTCTCCCATGCTTACTCAGCTACCTGGCCTCACGAACTGAACTGATGAAAAAAGTGCAAGCTATCTTGTGTACGTGCTTCACCGAGAGAGAAAAAAAAGAGATGGGCCACCTGTTAAACTAGCGTTGGTTATCCACTTGTCCTGCGGAGCTTCAGCTGTGATCTGTGTGGTAAAGACTGGCCTTATCATGAAATCTGAATCCTTCTTCGATGCACAGTGAGCTGACTTTCTCCGCGGATTGATGCAGGGTATGAAGTTGAGATGGGAACGCGACTATTTGCAGTCCATGCTACGGAGACGGTTGGACGGGCGCGTCGTCAAAAGGAAGAAAGAAAGCTACGTTCCGCTCTGCTGTCTCACCGTCCGTCCCTCTCGCTAGTCACATGACCTGCGATTTCCATACACCCCTGGAATGGACAGAGCCCAACTCAAACTCGTCCTGCACGGACGCCACATTGCGAAACCCAGTACGTTTTCGGTCGAGGCTCTTATCGTGTTTGCTTGTTTCTCCGTCATGATTACCAAAGACCCTGTCTACACACACCACGACCGCGACGGATTCTCCTCGACGGCGTGCTTCGTCGGGGTGGAGTGGCGGGTGGTTCTCCACCGGTTTCCTGGCAACGAGGGCAGAGCCCGCGGCGCGTCGCTGGCCGGCGGCGATTGGCGTGGATGACGGACGGTCCGGTCCGGTCCACACCATACGCGCTGGGAATTGATCGCCTTGTCGATCCATCCATCGATCGCTGGACGCATCCATCTCTTCTTCTTTTTGGGGGGTGGAGGGTCAAGAATGGTTTAGGGGCTTCACGGGAAGCCTGGGACGCGCTGCCGCTCTCCGGCGCTCGCCTTTGCTGCCTCCTATTTATTCCCCACTCCCTTTCATACCTCGCGCCCCTGGGCATTCATTCGTCCATCCATGGTGGCCGTGGACGCTCATTCCCTCGCCTACACGTTAAAGCCAGCCAGCCAGCCAGCGATCCATCGACCGATCGATCGGGCCTCGCTGTCGTACCGTCGCCGTCTCATACGGTTGGCGTTCGCCACTGCTTGCTAGCTAGCCAGCCAGTGCTTTCTACTATACCTTAGACCGCAGTTAGGTAGAGCTATGTATCTACACTGTATGCGTGCGTACGTGCAGGGAAAAATACATGCATGCATGCTTGCTTGCATGCATGCATGAAGAACCAAACATCATTTCTCGTCCGTCGAGCGCACGCAGAATAACTGATCATGATACCGCATGCATGCCTGCCTCCTGGATATACCACGACATATATTTATCTGCTTCTTTATGTGTTATGTATACTTGCGCACGATGGCCTCGGCATGGCATGTATCTATGTATGATGATGTGCATTGCGTAGATGTTGATGTAGTTCTGACTTCTGAATGATGATGGTACGTACTCCAGGGTATAGACGATGGACGACAGTTCTACTGCTTGTATGCAGCTGGCTCCTCCAAGTTGCAGCTACAAGTGGCCCTCTCAAACCAATCAATGGTTTCGATCTAATCAAATCTTGCTAGCTGTAGCTGTACAAAGTTGCAACCGACCTTTCAGCGGCACGTATCTGAGATGTACAGGGAGTTTAAACAGCGGCGATCACATTCATGCCCCTTCAACGGCTGAATCGCATTAACTAATTCAGTGGCGCATTCATTTGTACTTCTATCTGAGGGAGGTACGTTCCTACTAAAACAACATTAATTTGTTCTAAAGAAAGTACTCCAAAAATATGAATATTAGTATTAAAACTGCACCTAATATTTTGTAAGGGAGGTAGTAATCTGCACAAATAATAGTCTCCTTGTTTATCCTGTCTTTACTGACTTCTATTTTTTCTTTGTTTAGACAAACCTCAAAGAATTTTATTTTTGCAACGAAGATTTATTAACCTATAGAGTTTTTTACATGAACCCTATCCTGCCATACCTGTCTAAGAGGTAATAATACTATTAGCCATCATATGACAAAAAAGGTACAATTTGGGCGTGTCCAAACATTTCTCACGATAGGAATCCAATGAACTTGTGACTTGGTCATACATAACAGCTAATCGAATTGGCGTCTCGTGTGTGCTCTAGAAAATGACCACCTATGCATGATAAGTATCCAATCAACTTGCAACTTATCGTACGACAACAAATTGCTTTACGATAGTTGAACTCGTAAATTCACTTATACCGTATCACAAGTTGTCGCAGCGGACCGATTAACAATGAGCTGCTTTAGTGTGTGAACTTGTCGGCTTGTGATTTAGTTCTTCAATCATATATCAAGTAGTCGCATCAGATTGATATTTATTTTAAACAATGGAAGATAAACTCGTGGTCTCTGGAGGTACGATGCACACAACCAACTTGGCATCGCGTAATTTCTCCGATGGTAGTAGCTCGCATAGTGTCCACATCAAATTAGGCCGGCGAACGACAAGAAAAATTGAACTCCCTTCCTCTCGCTTTGCACACATGTGAGTCCTGGCGGGGAGGGCAAACCTTTTTGAGTTTTTCTCTCCAATAATTCCATTCCATTGTGTTGCATCCGATGATGTTCTCTTTCTCAGCTCCGGCAGGGTCACAAGATGCATGGGAGAGCTTGTAATTGGCATTGTGCACATACACACTCACTCACACACTCGAGGGGCTGAGGAGGAATTCAATCATGTACCCTTCCCTCATTCTCAAACCGTGAACAGAATGATCTCCCTTTTTTACCACATTTTTTTAGAGAAGCATGCAACCATTGAACTATCATGTGAATAAAGATAATGCAAGCAAACAACCCAAACTATGGCTAATATATCATATCCGGCGGCAGCCGCACTTAGAGGAAAGCTAGAGTTGGATTTATGTTGAATAGGTGGAGGCCAGGAACTACATTTTTCGTAGTTATGCGGCAACAACTATACCTATCGAGTTGGTGATGATATACGTCTGGAACACCACATAAATACGTTCTGTTAACCGACTTTCGTGCCATACACAAAATTGAAACAAATTTTTGTTACACAATTTAGCCAAAGCCGAGACAAGTTAGTTTTGCAAAGTGAGTGGCAAAGCATTTCTTGCTTCTTTTCGTGGTTCGAAGTAAGCCTCTCTTTTTTGTTTGCAGTACGCTTCTCTTTTTTTTTTGTTTGAAGGTTATCTTGTGGGCAAACACTACAAGAAAAACCAACAGAGAGCATTTGATTTTTTGCACAACACCCTTCAAAGATAATGAGAAACAAAAAGGTCAGCTCATTCTCCATCCGTGGCACCGCACACGTGTCGCCCTGCCAGCAAAACCTTTCTTGTAAAAACTTGCGATGTTTAATCTCCTCCCGTCCTTCCATCTTAGCTCACCCACAGGAAACCTTCATGCCAACTCACTATTTGATCCTTCGATTAGGTGCAACAACTTTCATTTGCTACAAGACGGCGCAAACGTTGCGTAAAAACAAAACTCATGTTTTTTTTATGTTGAAGAAGACAAAAGCTTACTGTTCCCAAGTGATGCATACACGCACTCCATCTCCATGTAAGAAACCATGGCGCAGGGCACACAGAATTCTCATGCTTTTCGTGTCCGCCGAATCTTCCGCTACTTTTACATGTCACATATATACGTGTGCCTAGCCATCGACAAACATATTCTTGGCTATGGTCCATATATCACTCTTCCAAGAAGAACCATACTTCTCCGCAAGAAAAACGGGCTATACTTGCAAAACTAAAAATAAATCACACCTCAGGTTACCGGTGGAGTGGCGGAGTTGGGGAGGAGGCAATGGCCCTAGTCACCACGGTTCAAATTTCGCGCCAAAATGCATTTAACAATGAGGAATTTTGCGAGTTTCACGAAGTATGCCTCCTCGCAAAATTTCCTCATTTTATCTCTTTTAAACGTAGAAATGTGTTAAGGAGGCATACTTGTTTTCACCGGTTGCCTTGACGGTCGGATGTGCCTTTGAGATTCGTGCGACGGTGCATCGGACGGCCATGATTTCCAAAAGCGTCTGGATGTAACATATTTTAGCTGTACACGCTGCCACTGGCCTCTGCGTGCCTATAAGAAGGGAAGGTAGCAGCCCGAACCCAGTACCCAAGGAGGGTTGGAGTTGCAGAGATAAGTTGTAGTAACTGACCGTGCGAACTTGCCAAGAATCCGTGGGAGGGGAGGGCGTGATGGAGAACTCGGCGGCGGCGGTGGGGGTGGAGAAGGAGGACGAGCTGGTGGGAGGCGGCGGCGGGGGCGACTGGGGGTACCTCACGTCGGAGGCGATGGCGACGGCCGGGTTCCCGGCGTTCGGGTTCCCCTGCGGCGCCAGGGGCGGCGTCACGCCCGCGCCGACCTCGGCGTCGCTGCTCATGTCCATGGAGCACGCCGCGCTGTTCGACTACAACGCGGCCTTCCCGTCGTCGTCGTCCTCCGCCGCCGCCGCGCCCCCGGCCTACCACGACTTCGGCTCCGGCGGCAACCCCTTCAACGTCGACGCCCCGCCGTTCCTTCTTGAGCCCCCGCCGCCGCTGACGGCGGCGCCGGGAGGGCAGAAAGGGGGGTTCTTGGCGCCCCCGCTGTCGGCGTTCGGCGACGGCATGGGGTGGGACGACGAGGACGAGCTGGATCAGCAGAGCGTGGACGCCTCCTCCTTGGGGGTCTCGGCCTCGCTGGAGAATGCCGTGGTCGGCGCGCCGGGGGGAGGTGGCGGTGGCGGCGGCGGCGGCAACGGCAAGGGCAAGAAGAAGGGGATGCCGGCCAAGAACCTGATGGCGGAGCGGCGGCGCAGGAAGAAGCTCAACGACCGCCTCTACATGCTGCGCTCCGTGGTGCCCAAGATCAGCAAGGTGAGGAATGCCCCCGCCGTCATTTCTGTGGAAATTAATCACCTACTTGTTCCTATACATATTATTGTCAATTTACAAGTTCTAGTTCATGATGTGAGTATAGTAGGATGGATTGTTACTGCACTTGATGGTGAATTTTGGTGCTGAATTCTTGAATTGGGATGAATTTATGTCACAAAAGTACCCATTTTTAGTTGTAGATCTATGTCACTCTTAGTGTCATGTTGGTTCTTATCTAGTACCATGTCCAGGAAGTAATAAAACTTGTACATTATCTGAAAAGAAAATCTATAGCGGTGTTTCGAGCGCGGGAAATTTTCTTATGCCTTGCAGGAATTGAACTTATTCACGTGAAATGGGAGCGATAAAACTATTCCATCGTCCGCAAAATCTCTTGGCCCCGTTCGGAGCGCGGGAATTTTCTTGTTGAACTTGTTCACGTGAAACGGGGAGCAATAAAACCCTTCCATTATCTAAATAATCTTTAGGCTCCTTGAAATTCATGCGTTGCAAAACATTTTTTTTTGTCATGACAAATTCATGGAAATTTAGCACCATGAATCCCTTCTCATCTTGTTAAATGTTTGTCTTACTGTTCTGCCTTGGTAGATTTCAGTACTGAACCTACTACCAGCCAAGTGTGTTTCTTGGTGATTTTTTCTTTTGATGTTTGCTTAATGGTGCAAACTGAACACAGTGCCATGCACAAGGTGTTATCTAAAGCCACCTGCCACTGGATAACCCACAAAGCTCCTTTTTTCCCCTTGTGTACTTGACAGTTGTTCAAGCGTTGGAGGTTTCTGTTTTTGTTTGTTTCCTTGGAAAAGTCCAATTTCTGCATGTTTTGGCGTGTAAAGTGCATTTTCCTGCAGTTGTTCCATGTAATCAGCTTACTTTTCTTCGCAATCATCAGGATAGTTTTGAACAGTAAACAAGGATCTTCTCTGAAGTAAATCTCATGGTGCATATGACATGTTACAGTCTAGCCATTTTCCTAGTGTATCAGCAGAACATGATTATGTCAAGATGTTACTAATTCTAAGTTTCTAACAGTGTTTGCATGGTTGTATGCTACATCCTCTGTTTCTAAATACAACAGTGTTTGCATAGTTATAACAGAGGTAGTAATTTGTAGTAGTTGATCGGCAGCTCATGACCACTTCTGTTTTCCTGTGCAATCCAACAATTTTCCTAGCATATCGACAGAACGTAGTTATTATGTGTAAAAATGCTGTTAATTCTAACAGTCTTTGCACTGTTGCATGATGATTTGTAGTGGTTGATCAGCAGCTCATCACCTGTTTCCTTCTCCTGTGTCATCAGATGGACAGGGCTTCAATCCTTGGTGACGCAATTGACTACCTGAAGGAGCTCCTGCAGAGGATCAGTGATCTCCACTCCGAGCTCGAGTCTGCTCCCAGCTCTGCTGCACTGGGTGGACCATCGACAGCTAATAGCTTCCTCCCGTCGACGCCCACCCTGCAGCCGTTCCCCGGCCGCATCAAGGAGGAGCGGTGCCCGCCGGCCCCGTTCCCTAGCCCCAGCGGCCAGCAGGCGACGGTCAGTTCATTTCTTTCTGCCATGCCATGGAGCTTGATGCTCCTTTTCCATTGTGTCATTCATTGTGTATGAACCGAGCAGTGGAACTCAAGTCTGTTTGATTGGTTGTGTGTGTGTGTTCAGGTTGAGGTGAGGATGAGGGAAGGGCAGGCGGTGAACATCCACATGTTCTGCGCGCGCAGGCCGGGCATCCTGCTGTCCACCATGAGGGCGCTGGACAGCCTCGGCCTCGACATCGAGCAGGCCGTCATCAGCTGCTTCGACGGCTTCGCCATGGACGTCTTCCGCGCCGAGGTTCGTTTGTAATTCCCGCCCAAAAAACCCTCTCCTCTGCTCCACTGTGCAGCTGTGGCGATGCATGCTGATCCTGTCGGTGACAGTGCCCATTTCGATCAGATGAAACCTTACCGTTGCTTGCTGTTCACCACCTTTATGGTCTGGTCTGATCCGTTCTGTTGTTCTGGGTGTCCAGCAATGCAGGGACGGCCCTGGGCTCCTGCCGGAGGAAATTAAGGCCGTGCTCCTGCACTGCGCCGGTCTCCAGAACGCGATGTAGGCGAGTGAACCCCGGGAGACAAGACCGTCAGGACGGTGATGATGATGATCGTGGCCGTTGGATGGTCTCTATCTCCTCTCTGCCTCGCCAGGATGATGCTAGATGTACAAAACTTTGTGCTGCTCCTTGTTTTTTACCAGTTTCTTGGACAACTTCATGGGATGAGGCTCGCCATCTCCCTCCCCGCAGACATGAGACCGGGATCTCGGTCGATCTTCTCCCTCTGGTGCTGTGAACCTGTGTGATGTAATGGTTATCTTTTCCTACCGTTGAACTATCTCCAGTCAGTCGGTCCTCCATGGTGTCCATGGTGAAATGAGATGAGGCGAAATATGAGGCGAGCGCACACCCCACGGCCATGGCGTCGTCATGGTCGTGCCCGCATGTTTCCAAGAGACTCAGCCTGTCAGGGGACAATGATTGCATGCATGGTTGCAGCTCGTAGCACGCTGCAGACGAGCTGCGGCCGGACCGAATTGATTTCTCTGGCCGCTTGTGATTACTGTTTTTTGAATGAACTATGGCCTCTTGTGGTTTATTATGCAATACGAAGTGTTTCTGTAGCATTTGCAGGCCGGCCGGCTGAACTGGTCATCATACATAGCCCATGTGCGACCCTGAGGCGAATGGGGGATTAGTTGGGGATCGGATTGGCTGCTTCTCTGCGATGCATGAATGCTGGATTTGGCAGGATTATGCGTGTGTGTGTGTGCGTACGTACTTGAATGCATGCAGCCATGCAGGCAGCAGAGGGCCGTTCTTGAATTCTGCCGTCTCTATATGCCAGTGCCACAGGCGGCGGCAAGATTTGCAGGTGCAGCAATGCCGCAGTCGTGGCTTGGCTTCACAGTAAGTTGAGTGGATTTGACCGTTCGTCCTGCCACATGGAAAACAGGAGGAGACTGGACATGAGTTTTAAAAATATATATATATATATACTGGTAGTTACCCCCTAGCTATTTGCCCTCCACGTGTCCTCCACTGTACCATCAGGTCGACCACGAAGTGGAATATGGGTTAACGGGTGCGTGGAATCCAATAGCTAGCAACTAATTTAATTTTTGTAATATAATAATCCGGCAAGGTACGTGGAACTGCCTCCTTATTTTTTGCCAACGTACATCCAACAAACTGCTTGTTAGATAAGCACATGAATGTGTGAATACAAAAAACTAGTCTAGGTACGTACATACTTTTTTTTGTTAGAAATAGGTAGTATGGAGTATATAGTGTAACATTTATAACTTACTTTTTAGCTCAGTTCTTTTTAGAAATAGGTAGTATGGAGTATATAGTATACTCATGTATTGTTTGAGTATGTCATGTTAACATAAATCTGGAGTATGGAGTATTAACATAAAAGAAATATGGAGTATGGTGTATGGTGTATGGAGTATGTAGTATGTAGTATAGTTCATTCTTTACATATGGAACACATGTAGATACTGTTCCTCGTAGTATGGACTATATTTACAAAAAAAATGAGGGGAATATATTTACAAGTTGTAGTATGTAGTATGTCTATATCCTTTTTTAGATGGCAGCATATAACATTTTTCTTCTGAAAAGAAACATGTATATATATACTTTTCTTTGGACCTAAATATTAACTGAGTATGGAGTATTCATCGCAAAAAAAGTGAGTATGGAGTATTAACATAAAAGAAACATGGAGAATGGTGTATGGTGTATGGAGTATGGTGTATCCGTGTATTGAGTACGGAGTATGTAGTGCAGTTCATTTTTTTAGGTATGCAACACATGTAGATACTCTTCCTTGTAGTATGGAGTACATTCACACACAAAAATTGAGGGGAGTATATTTACAAGTTGTAGTATGGAGTCTGTATACATCCTTTTCAAAATGGCAGTATATAACATTTTCTTCTGAAAGAAACATGTATATATACTTTTCTTTCGACCTAAATATTAAGTGTGTGCATCTATGTACATAATTCTGAAGCATCGCCTGAGCATATATTTGTAGCTCGTCCGGAGTATATAGAATATATAGTCGTCTTTCGGGGAAGGAGTAAAAGTTTATATACTTTGTTTTGGAAACTGTAAGAAGAATGGTACTTGCATCGAGTACAACGAGTTGAGACATTCGATATACAAATTTGATGCATATGTCATGGTACGCATGCATCACGGGGAGTTAGCAAGCATTGATCGTGGCCACATGCATCAGACATTCATGCGTGTTGCTACGGCGCCGTCCTCGGCACTACCGCACGTTCCGTGCAATCGCCGGCGGATCTCCGTCGAGTCTATCGCCCAACCACCGTTGTTGTCCCTCGTCAGATGCCTATGATCCCGGGTGGTAGCACGATCAAAATTGGTAATCAAATCCATGGAGAAAGAGATGCCATTAATTCCAAATCCCCCATTATCTAGATCATGTACGTAGATACAAAAACTGATTAGTATTGGATATTTCACCAGAAAGAAATCTGCCAAGCCGCTCAAGATCCAAAAGTGCAGCTTGGCGGCGGCCATGCGACAAGCTAATTAAAATACTCATGATTTCAAAGGGCAGGAAAATAGTAGTGTTTGTTACGGCCAAACGGGTTGGTAAATAGACGCTAGCTTGGAAACCCGTTTAGAAAAGCACACATCTCAACGAATCCAGTGGTAGAAAATGTGGGG